ATGTGGGTCTTATTTTGGGGGTGTGTGTGTGTTATTGGGTTGTTGTTTTTATTTTGATTATATATTTTGTGGTTTTATATTTCGATTTTGTTCTGTGAACCGCTCTGAGACCTCCGGGTATAGGGTGGTATATAAATTCAATAAATATTTTTTTTAAAAATCTGGGACTGTCCTTGGAAAATCGGGACACTTAGAAGGTATGCCATAGGCTTCCTCAACCTCGGCCCTCCTGATGTTTTGAGACTACAATTCCCATCATCCCTGACCACTGGTCCTGCTAGCTAGGGATCATGGGAGCTGTAGGCCACAAACATCTCGAGGTCTGAGGTTGAGGAAGCCTGGGCTAGAGGCATATAAAATGCCTCAACACTGTATCGCTCATAACTAACTTGCCATGTTCACGCCATTGATGTGAGCTTGCAGCGAAGTGTTCTTTGTGCCTCTCCTCCACGCGGATCAGCCAGCCTGCATACTGATAAGTTTGGAGAGGCTGCATAGAAGTGGTTTTTAGTCAAGCTTGGCTTGTTCAGAGGCTCAATTTGTTGATTACTGTCAATGGGCCGACTTGATTCAGAGCATTAATGCGGAGCTGAAAGGCTATGAGAAGAATCTTAGGTCCTGGTTCAATGGGGTCAGAATTTCATGCTCCAAATCCTTAGAACCAAAGATGCTCTTCAGTTTATAATTTGCTGTTTTCCAATGAGTTGGAGAAAGGCTGTGTACACATTGAAAAGGGATGCCTTGTGTCCTGAAAGCATGTTCAGAAAACGCATTACCATGCAGAGCTTTGCATTTTATCGGTTGTTGTTGATGATGATGATGGTTCACAGACATGGGCTTTTTGGAGATTTTTTTTTCCACGAATCAAAATATGCATAAAGTTTTTGTGATTCTGAAGAAATGTTTGTTTCTTCATTGATTTGATTTTACCATAATAATGCCAACTCAAGGTAGCTTTTAAAAATAATAAAAATCCCAAGCATCTTAACATCTACAATGGGAAAAAATAACTTAGCGAAATAGCAGAAGACAATCCGTTCTTAAATGCCTCTTTAAATAAGAATATATTCTAAATAGGAAGTGATATGGTGCACTTTCCACAGTAAGAGTACAACAGCAGGCTGCTGGAGAGACAGTGTGGTGTAGTGGTTAAGAGTGGTGGACTCGTAATCTGGTGAACTGGGTTCGCGTCTCCTCTCCTCCACATGCAGCTGCTGGGTGACCTTGGGCTAGTCACACTTCTCTGAAGTCTCTCAGCCTCACTCACCTCACAGAGTGTTTGTTGTGGGCGAGGAAGGGAAAAGGAGATTGTTAGCCGCTTTGAGACTCCTTAGGGTAGTGATAAAGCGGGATATCAAATCCAAACTACTCTTCTTCTTCTTCTTCTTCTTCTTCTTCTTCTTCTTCTTCTTCTTCTTCTTATTAACACATAACACAACAAAACCATTCATCATAAAGGCCATGTGTACATAACAGACTAAAGGGGCAATCCTATGGCAAGATGTCCTGGGATGAGCTGGTTAGCATCCCGTTCCCAGCACAGTTGGGCTATTCTGGCTTAATTCACACATCCTCAGCTCAGCTATAATTAAGACCACTTATCTCCCCCATTGCAGCTCAGTTTGGGACCCAGACAGCTGAGAGGAGCCTGGTAGAACTCAAGCCCCAAAAGAGATGTGGTGGGAGCAGGGCCAACCAAGCAAAAAGGAAGGCGTAACTCAAACACTATTTCAAAAACTTGCCAGGCTTAGGTCAGGTCAGCCAGGAGTAGTCATGCTGCTGAATGGAGTTTGGCTGTAGTTTAACTTTACGCCAGCTCAGCTTGCACCAGCTTTCTTTATGCCAGCTTCTTGCATACAGGATTGCTCCATTAAACTCGTTTGACAGTCAGTTCATCTCTTTAGGGAACTTAGGATGTCGTAGGTTAATGGAGGTGGAGTTGGGGTGTGGCTAATAATATAATAATAATAAATTTTATTTATACCCCGCCCTCCCCAGCCAAGGCCGGGCTCAGGGCGGCTAACAACCAATAATAAAAACAAGTTGAATGAATACAACTTAAAAACAAGATTAAAATACAACATTAAAACATCAAAACATTAAAATGCAGCCTCATCGCAGGAGGAGAAAGGAAAAAAGAAAGAGGGGGAGGGAATCAAATTGACTCCAAGCCAAAGGCTAGGAGGAACAACTCTGTCTTACAGGCCCTGCGGAAAGAAATCAGATCCTGCAGGGCCCTGGTCTCATGAGGCAGAGCGTTCCACCAGGCTGGAGCCAGTGTTGAAAAGGCCCTGGCTCTGGTTGAGGCTAATCTGACTTCCTTAGGGACTGGGACCTCTAGGGTGTTGCTATTTATGGACCTTAAGGTCCTCCGTGGGGCATACCGGGAGAGGCGGTCCTGTAGGTACGAGGGTCCTAGGGATCTCTAACAGAATTTTAAGCAGGCCATTATTCCCAGGGTTCTGTGGGGGAAGCCAGCATAATCAAAGAGAGATGCACACACAACTTGCATGTATTTCTAATTTATATAAAGTCTAAAATGCCACAAAACCTTTCATTGGTACAGTCTGAATGGCTAGCGGATAGCTGAACAAACAACTTTTCTGCTGTTGGGAGTGACATCTGGCATTGCTTTCTTATTTATTTATTTTTAAATAAAACCCTGAGGAGAAAGGGTTGCAGCTCTCTCATAGTCTGCGTTTTGGGAAATATTTTTATTGAATATGTAGATAATAGTCTCCATCTACCAGCTATCTTAGGATGTGCTTATGTGTCGTTTGGCAAACGAGCTCAGTGAGTCACTTTCCTCAAATGTATGGAGGGATTGGCCTTTACTTCATGGTATCAGATAGTCTTGTTTTCCTAAACCCTGTATAATTACTGTAGCTGCAGTAATCCTAGAATTAGCAAACCAAATGTCTCATTTACGGTGCAGAAAAGAACATTCTGTTTAACAGACACCTGCCCGTCACCAGTTTTTTTAAAAAATATTTAAATAGAGTGCTCCTTTGGCTACTTCAAATCAAATATTGACCGATCCAACCTTATTATGACATTTTAAGGCATTCCTTTAAAATGGGGAACATTGTAGCTCAGTGACAGAGCTCATTCTTTGCATGCAGAAAGACCCAGGTTCAATCCTCAGCATCTCCAAGTAGGGCAGGGAATGACTCCCATGTGATACCCTTGAAAGCTACTGCGATTCAGTATAGACACTAGTGAGCAATATGTGTTGCAGATATTAATATTGTGCAGTTTGAAGCGACTGGAAGCTTAAGTACTGACTACTTTGGGAATACATCATTGTCCAGACACAGAATACAGCAAAGGATATGTCCAAAATATCCATACAAAGTCCAGCACAGGCTCAGCATGTTACAAAATATGAAATAATGCAAAGAGACCTCTCTCTCTCTCTCTCTCCAGCCTGCATTCCAGCCTCCAGGCTGTTTGCTCTCCCTTCAGGAGAGCTTCATTTTACATCTTCACTCCACTGAGTTTGGGAGAAAAGGCTCAAAGGCAACTCCCTTCAAAATGGAGATTTGCAACCCAAAACCTTCATCGCATGATCTAAGCTTACAACACTCACATGTTAGCTTCCAGAAAACAACAATCAGTTAGCTCATCATTATCTTAGCAAGAGCTCAAAGTGCTCTCTTTGGCTTTAATATAGTCCCATGGAAAAACCCCATGTTAAACCTTCTGCTATATACATAGAATCATAGAATCATAGAGTTGGAAGAGACCACAAGGGCCATCGAGTCCAACCCCCTGCCAAGCAGGAAACACCATCAGAGCACTCCTGACATATGGTTGTCAAGCCTCTGCTTAAAGACCTCCAAAGAAGGAGACTCTACCACACTCCTTGGCAGCAAATTCCACTGTTGAACAGCTCTTACTGTCAGGAAGTTCTTCCTAATGTTTAGGTGGAATCTTCTTTCTTGTAGTTTGGATCCATTGCTCCATGTCCGCTTCTCTGGAGCAGCAGAAAACAACCTTTCTCCCTCCTCTATGTGACATCCTTTTATATAGACATTTAGACATTTTTCACTTCTGTGTCAATTAAACCATTGCTTTGGGGGTTGTTGCTGTTGTCAGTGGTTTTTTTTTTAATCTTTATTTTGTATATTACGATTTATTTGCAAATTGTTCAATTTGGTTGATGCTTTTGATGTTTTGTTTATTGTCTTTGACTACTTTTGCTATGTTTGTAATTATACAACTTTTTATATGCTGTAAGCCACCTTGAGCATGGTTTTAACTCTTGAAAGGCGGCATGCAAATAAAATGATTGATGGATTGAACTGCCAGGCTCAGAATAAAGCAGCTCCACGTGTACCTTCTTTTCACTTCCCTGCACATGAAGAAGTGCCATTTCCTGCACCCTTTTTCAGTCTGAGTTGAAACTCTCTTTTGAAGGACATCCAACTTTCTGACAAATGACTAGGCTCTAGTCATTCCTCCATGTTCTGTTTAATTGAGCTGGAGACAGAGCGGTGCTACAGCTTCTGGTGAGCATGCTGTTCCCTCTGCCATCTTGTCAAAGGTCAATGGTGGACCATCACGCCATCCATCTCAAAAACCACTTAGAGCACATTAGAGCGATGATGGGCTGCCAAGTAGATATCTGCTTTGTCAACCTTTGTCAGCTTTGTCAGTGGAAACTATTCTTCGGAGACAGATGTGACTTTCCAATCTCCCTGACCACCGTTAATGCATGGTTGATATTCATTTGTGGCAGGTGAACTGGATGCCTACTCTCAAGACGATGCATCTGCTGTGGTCATATCACATTTTCCGCACCACCCAACCATTAGGAAGGACCATAGCTCAGTGGTGGAGCCTGTGCTTCTCATGCAGAAGGTCTCAAATTCAATCCCTGGAAGATTTCTCTTTGAGATTGTAAGAACATAAGAAGAACCTGCAGGATCCAGGCAATTACCCAGCATCCTGCTGGCCAACCAGATGCTTGTGGAAAACCTGCAAGTTGGGCACAAGTGGTCTACCTGGGATAGCTCAGTCAGCAGAGCATGAGACTCTTAATCTCAGAGTCGTGGGTTCAAGCCCCACGTTGAGACTGAATCTAAGAGAATGAGGAAAGCGGGGTTGCATTTATTTGACCTGCACCAGAACCAGGGGTGACCCCCAAACCAGCTAGGGAGACAGCTTTCTGTAGTGGTGATCGTGAGCGTTGTCAAACCAGCATCTTTTGAGGGCTGCCTTGAGTCACCAGGCAACAACTTCATGGTGTAACAACTTCATGGTGAGTTCTGGTACCTATTTTTCCTGGGGGGGGGGGAGCACTGGGTATAACTTTACGCTAGCTTAATTTAAGGTGGTATAAACTTCACTGGTTTCCCATATTTAGGATTGTGTGCTGGGCCTGGGGGTAACCAGAGAACCAGGTCCAGGTCCGGTCCAGAATCCATAGGTTCCGCTAGGAGTCAGTCTGACAGGGCCAAGGCAGGACACGAGGCAGGAAACCAGGCAAGGACAGGTACAGGATCTGAGGCAAGATCTGGCATACAGCAATGTTGCTCCCGCAACCTGGGGCGAGGTCCAACAGCCTTTTATCTTTGTTGGGGTAACAGCCGGTCCTGATCCCCCAGCGACTCACCTCCCTGTCTCGCCCAAAGGTGAGCACTCCTCCTGCGAGTACTCAGGTCTCTCCTTCTCTCAGACCTTAGTCTCTGCAGCTCGGGAGACGTCGGTGGGTTACTAGACCCAGGGGCCACCTCAGCCTCCCTTGACCCAACCAGTAGTGGAGCAGCTGTAAGTGATGGCCCAGCTGAAGACAACGAGGTAATCTCTGCATCTGGAGCCAGGGCAGGCTCAGGCCCCTGACTCAGCCCAGCTGGTGTTTGTTGCAGGGGAACCTGTGTAGACTGGGGCTCTTCAGAATCAGGCCCCAGGCTTGGTTCAGATGATGCCTAATGCAAAGGATCCGGTGCAGACTGAGACTCCTCTGGTTCCGAGTCCGAGGCCATCACAGATTGCTCTCTATGACTCTCCAAGTTAAAGGCCAAAACCATTTTGGCCTTTAAAAGTAGTCAGTGGGCTATCTGATGTTTTCCTTAGGAAAACTTGCACTTGAAAAAAAAGCTGCTGGCAAAAATAAAAATAAAAATAAAAATGGAAAGCTGGGAGTGTGAATATTAAATAAGCGAGTAAGACTTTCAATAGCCTGCAGCCAACGAGTGCATCTCTCACGATAGATTCCTCCAGAGAGGTTTTCTGTGCCTGCACATATGCTCGTATATTTCTCTTCAAAATGATCCCAAGGAAATGGATTTGGGCAGAGGGGTGCGGCAGGAGGAGCTGGTTGGATTCTCAATCAACACCAGGGGAAGCCGTGGGATTCAGGTGCCAGAATCCGAACAGATGTGAACTTTAGAAGACACTCTTGCCAATTTGCATCGGTGGGGAAGGTTTTATCACTCCTCTAGCGTGACCTTGTAAAGTCATCTGAGAGAACAGATTGCAGTCAACTTTGGAGATTTACCTGCGTGCACATGGAGGAAAGCAAACAATATGCATTCCGTATTCAAGGGATGATATTGCTGATTATCCTGCTTCACCCTCTTTGGCCTGCGTCAAATTGAAGGGAACGTTTCATTTTCATTCATTTATTGTATTTCTAGGTTACTTTTCACTCACACGAGTCACAAAGTGTCTTACATGTAATAAATAACAACACAGTAGAACGTCAAAATTGCAGCATAAAAATAATTAACAAATCATAAATAAAACAACCACCTTCTGTAAAACACTATTTACAAGTCAACTTAAAAACAGATTAAAACCACAAGAAAAGCCATATTATATCTTTTACAAAGCATTACAGCACTCATAATCCACAAAGCAATATTAACAACATGAACAAACTAGCAACCAAAAAAACAAACTAAGCACTGCTGAATTTGTGCACTCTTCCTGAACAAACAATTTTCCTGATCCCCCTTGGCTGATCCCCCATCCCCATCCCATGAATGTTAGAAGCTGAAGATAAGGGGTTGGATATTTTCCGGACTTGGCAACTAATACTGCCCCCACATCCAGATATATAATCAGTTGCCTGTCTCCAGTTTCCTTTGGTAAACGGGCATTTCTACATACAAACAAAACATTGAGGCATTCCTTTAATACCACTGCTATGTTGTCATTATTTTGTTACACACACACACACACACACACACACCCCTTCAGGGCAAAATGAGACATGATGTCAATTTGCACATAAACAATGTAGCGTGCCTTTTTTAAAAAAAACATTAAATAAATAAATTGCTGGTGTGCTGCCATCCCCAAGAAAGATGAGAACTGGGGTGAGTGGGTGTGATGGCTGAACCTGAGGGAACCTTGGATGCTGAACCTGAGGGATCCCAGCCTGCACAGGATTCCCCACCTCCAGAACCAGCTGAGCTGGGGCTGGGGCATGAGCCTGAAGGGTCCACACCTGTGCTGGGTCTTCAGGTGCAGGCACCAGCTGAGTCTGCTCTGGCCCCTGAGGTGATGGAGGACCCATTGCCTGCAGGTGCTCCACTCTCAGCCCTGTCAGAGGAAGCTGAGGTTGCCTCTGGGTCCGGTAAGCCTCCAGCATCTCCTGAGCTGCAGAGGCTCAGGGCAGAGAGGCGGAGGGAACTAAGTTCCCACAGGAGGAGTGCTCGCCTCCAGGCCAGGAGAGGCGAGTCACCACAGGATCGGGACCGCCCTATGTCTTGGGGCAGATAAAAGCCAGCCAGCCCCAGTCCCAGGTTGTGGGAGCAACATTGTTGGTTGCTAATTCCAGCCTGAACCCTGTCCTGCTTTTCTGCCAGAGCCCCTGACTCGCCCTGGCTCCCTGCTTGCTTGCCTGTTCCTGACTTCGCCCAACTCCCTGCCCTGCACCCAGCTTCAGCTACTACGGACTGCCTCCATGTTGCACCTTTGACCATGGACCGGCCTTGGCCTCGCCTGTCTGGTAACCCATGGGACCAGCACAGTGGGGATGTGGTAGAGCTGGCCCAAGACATTTTGCTACCTGAGAATGGTGCTCCCTGTCTGGTCAGGGAAGCAGGGGTGATGCCAGGCTTCAGGGAATCTGATCCCTCCCACTGTGGCAGCCCAAAAAGCAGATAAAAAATAAAAGTTCTTAGTAAAGGTAAAGGGACCCCTGACCATTAGGTCCAATCGTGACCGACTCTGGGGTTGCGGCGCTCATCTCGCTTTATTGGCCGATGGAGCCAGCATACAGCTTCCGGGTCATGTGGCCAGCATAACTAAGCCACTTCTGGCAAACCAGAGCAGCGCACGGAAACACCGTTTACCTTCCCGCTGGACTCTATTTATCTACTTGCAATTTGACATGCTTTCAAACTGCTAGGTGGGCAGGAGCTGGGACCGAGCAACGGGAGCTCACCCCATGGCGGGGATTCAAACCACTGACCTTCTGATCGGCAAGTCCTAGGCTCTGTGATTTAACCCACAGCGTTCTTACCAAGCAATTTATTCAATAATTCACGGAGAGCGACAAAGGAATTCAGTCTCTCTGCAATAATGGCGTTGCTCCGAGTAAGTTCCCCTGTCTCTCCTATTCTGCATTACCCCTGAGTCGGCTAATCTGAGCTTTCTGCCTCTGAGCTTTCTGTTCAACTCCCCTCAATGCTTGCCTGGTCCTGGGAGAGTGGGGTGCTGGTGGTGGTTCAGGAATGCTTTCCAAGGACACTGAGTCTGCCGGCTGTCTCTCCCCAGTGTTTCTTCTTCCTGCTGCTCCTCCCCTCCCAATATCTCCCAGCTTCTCCCCTCTGCGGCCTCTGAATTATGACCTTCTGCAAACCGCTGTTCAAAATCTATACTGTACTCCTGTTCTCAGTAAGGTTCAGGAGAAGGAGGGCAGTGGTCCTCACCATTCCTCCTCAGTCTAGCCCCTGACAGGTGATTGAAGACCTACATCAGGGGGGATAAAAATCTTCATTGGGAACGAGGGGGTGGGGGGAGACCAGCCGTGCCTCCTATTCGCCAAAAGGCAACATTGGGATTGGATGCTGAGGAGGCAGCAGATCTGACCTGCAGCTGCATTCCTTGGAGGCCGGATTTGGTGCCCCGTGGATCCTGCTGCCTGAGGTGGTTGCCTCTCCTTGCCTCCTCTGTGGGCCAGCCCTGGGAGGTGTTTTAAGCCTCTCTACTGATCTAGACGGACTAGTGATGGGACTCAGTATGGCAGGTTCCTGTGTTCCTATTGTCCTGGTTAAAATCATTCTGAGATATTGTGGTGGTCTTGTGGTAAGGTTAAAGCTTACTGGGAAATGATATATAATGAATTGAAAAGGATGTTCAAAATAACTTTTATAAATAAAACCCAGAAGCTTTTCTTTTGGAAATTATGGGGACAGGACAACCTAAATTCTATAGAAATTTATTTATGTATGCCACTACAGCAGTAAGAATGTTACTTGGCCAAAAGTGGAAAGAAGCAGAAGTCCCAGCAAAGGAAGAATGGATACAAAAACCCATGGGATATGCAGAAATGGCAAAACTTACTAGAAGAATAAGAAATCAAGATAACAAACTTTTTTTTTAATAAAAGAATGGAAATGGTTTATTGAATATTTACAGATAAATTGTAAACAGATAAGAACATTAGCAGGAGTAATGTACTAACCTGCAGTTTTATAAAAGTGTGTATTTACAGCATATAAATAAATGAGCAAGTTAAATGAAGTTGGATATGCAGAAGATATTATATTAAAAAATAAATTTAAGGAACCGCAGAAAGAGGGGGAAGGAAGTCAAACTTTGAAATGTTAAATTGATTGTAAAACTAATGAAATGTATAAATTTGAATGTTATATATATTAAAAAACCAACATTCTGAGATATTGGCCCTGTTGGGGAAGAGGGAGATTCTGATGTTGGGATCACTGGGAGCTCCGCTCCTCTGCTCAAAGTTTTGGAGAGAGGAACATTTTTATGGGATGTAGTAGCAGAGGGGAAAGGATTTAATGCTCCTACCCACAGGATAAGGGACACGGGTGGCGCTGTGGGTTAAACCACAGAGCCTAGGACTTGCCGACCAGAAGGTCGGCGGTTTGAATCCCCGCAACAGGGTGAGCTCCCGTTGCTTGGTCCCTGCTCCTGCCAACCTAGCAGTTCGAAAGCACGTCAAAGTGCAAGAAGATAAATAGGTACCGCACCAGTGGGAAGGTAAACGGCATTTCCGTGCACTGCTCTGGTTCACCAGAAGCGGCTTAGTCATGCTGGCCACATGACCCGGAAGCTGTACGCCGGCTCCCTCGGTCAATAAAGTGAGATGAGCGCCGCAGCCCCAGAGTTGGTCACGACTGGACCTAATGGTCAGGGGTCCCTTTACCTTTACCTTACCCACAGGATGTGGTCCCAGTTCTGCTCAACCCTGTGGTGGCTATTTCAAAGATGTTAAAAATGTGCTTGTTAATTGCTTACAATGTCACATCATGCCCTAAGATGATGTAAGTTATTCCTTTTGCTAGGGTGTGTGTGTGTGTGTGTGTGTGTGTGTGTGTGTGTAATATAAAGATACTATTGCAAACTGCTTTGATATTTTTTATAATATAGTAGGGTATAAATAATTCAAATAAATGACAGCCATTTTAGCTTTAGTCTTTCCTGTCAGACCCCTGTTTTGTTTTGTTTTTTTAAAAAAGGAAAATAGCGTTTTGCTACATAAACAGGCATTTCCAGGAAAACAAGGAACAAATGACTTGTATGCAGCTAATACGGTTGAGGGAGAAATTTGGTTCAGTTTGCATTTTAATGAGAATCTACCCAATTTGCACTTCTCTAAACACAGCTGTTGGATTCTGTTAGCTTTGAGTTTTTAAGAGGTTTGCCCTGAGAAGCACCCAGCAGAGGAGGGAGAAATGTGAGGAGGGAGAAGAAAGAGGCAGTGAGGATATGCAGAGAATGAATCTGGAGGTTATGAATAAAGTTCTGAGTATTATTACAATCTATTTCTTATAGGTAAAGTGGTAGATACAAAAGCAGCTATGACAGTTTTCTGAATATTGCAATGTGGCATTCCCAGGCAAATAATGTTGTTGTTGCAGTTTTTTAAAAAAGAATATATGATGCATATATTGGTGAAAGTAACATTAAAATGCATTATATATGAAAAAAATGCTTTCAAAAATTAGACAAGATTGCATACAAAAAACCCTGAATATTAGGAGAAATGTGTATTAAATTGCTGATTGTGAGTACTTTTTAAAATGAATGATGCAGAAATATGGGGAACTGAATTTGAGATAAACTGAAATAAACAGATTAGTCTTACCCTAGCAGCTAAAAATTATTTCCACTGTTACATCAGCTGAGCAGTACAAATCACTGCCTGTTCAGTGGAAATGGGGAAAGAAATGGCTGGTATTCACTTATTCATCCTCCTTAGGAATGGAAATCAGTGTAGCAAATGCAAATGATATTCACTGTTGTTGTTTTCGGCCCCAAACAATATGTAAAGATTCATAATTATGTCTCTCAATTTTGCATTGTGTCTCCTTTGTGTTGAAACTAATGGTGTGAAATAAAGTGAAGATAAGAGAGTTGATTGCATCAAATTTAATCATAGTGGATAACGAGACAAATGAAGTTCTTTTTGCTGGAAGTTGAACTGCAGCAGAATGGAAGCAGCACTGCATGCGACAAATACAAGGTGGTGCATCCCTACCTGTCGCATATCATTTTAAGAATGTTTCCAAGGGCATTTTCTGGGGATGGTTTGAATTCATTGCAATGCATTATATGGTAGGTGATTGGATGATGGCTCGTAAAATCTGTTTCAATCCGATGGTTTCATAAGAGCCCAGGAAGGGCTGTAGCTCAGTGGTAGAGCATTTTCTTTGCATGCAGAACGTCCTAGGTTCAATCCCCAGCATCTCCAGGAATTGTTGAGTGAGACCCCTGTCTGAAATCTAGGAAAGCTACTACCAGGCGGTATATACCGAGTTAAATGGACCAGTGACCTGAATCAGTATAAGGAAGCATCCTGTTTCCTATGTTCCTATATAAACAAGAACAAGTAGAATGTCTGTCTAAAGAAAGAATACGGAGATGGCACACTTCTTCTTCTTCTTCTTCTTCTTCTTCTTCTTCTTCTTCTTCTTCTTCTTCTTCTGCCGTTCTATACCCGGGGGCTCAGGTCAGTTCACAGAATAAAATCAAGATAAAAGGTAAAGGGACCCCTGACCATTAGGTCCAGTCGTGGCCAACTCTGGGGTTGCGGCGCTCATCTCACTTTATTGGCCGAGGGAGCCGGTGTACAGCTTCCAGGTCATGTGGCCAGCATGTCTAAGCCACTTCTGGCGAACCAGAGCAACGCACGGAAACACCATTTACCTTCCCGCTGGAGCGGTACCTATTTATCTATTTGCACTTTGATGTGCTTTCAAACTGCTAGGTTGGCAAGAGCAGGGACCGAGCAACGGGAGCTCACCCCATCGCGGGGATTTGAACCGCTGACCTTCTGATCGGCAAATCCTAGGCTCTGTTGTTTAACTCACAGCGCCACCCATGTCCCTTTTAAACCACAAAATACCTAATAAAAATAAAAACAACAACCCTATATCTTCTCCCCACAAAAACACATTTTAAAAGGGTGTAGGATGTAAATCGGATCAACCAAAGGCCTGGCTAGAAAGGAATGTTTTTGCCTGGTGCCTAAAGGTGTATAATGAAGGCGCCAGGTGAACTTCCCTGGGGAGAGCATTCCACAGACGGGGAGCCACTGTAGAGAAGGCCTGTTCTCATGTTGCCACCCTCTGAACCTCTCGAGGAGGAGGCACACAAAGGAGGGCCTCAGAAGATGATCTCAAGGTCCAGGTAGGTTCATATGGAAAGAGGCAGTCTTTACTGGAGAGATGAAACATTCCATGTCCCAATTGAGCCTCCATGGCAACAGCTAAGTGGTAGAGCACATACTTAGCATCCCTGGTTCAATTCCTTACATCTCCATGTTAGACTACGAGAGTCTCCTGTCTCCACCTCCCCTGTAGAGCAAAAATAAAAAATAAAAAAAAATTGTTCCAGACCAACAATGTTTTGCCTTGCAGCTTCTCTCCAGCTGAATCTGGCAAGGAGCAAGGAAGTGATGGATAAAACGGATGTTGAGAGCATCCTTGGAGCAGATATTCATGAGTTGATTCAGCTGACATAATTGGAAGGGCACAGGGAATGAGAACTACAACAAAATTACTTGATTTTAATAAGGAAGATCTTGAGACACTAATGAAGATAATTAGCAAGGTATGCTGGAATGGGGACCCGTGTCTCTGAATGCAAATGAAAATGGATTTTTTAAAAAATCTTGATAGTGCATATCAGTCGCAATGCCCATAAGCAATTATTTTCTGCAGTAAAATCCAAGGAGAATAAAAAATGTTAAGAAGAAGTCCCCATTCTAACAGGATGAGTAAACTTCTTAGAGCTGAGTCTTTTGATGGAGTTGTCCTTGAACATTATGATGAATCAGAATCACAGAATGTAGAGTTGGAAGGGATCCTGAGGATCATCTAGTTCAACCTCCTGAAATGCAGGAAACTCAACTAGATCATACATGACAGATGGCCATCCAACCTCTGCTTAAAAACCTCCAAGGAAGGAGAGTTCACCACCTTCTGAGAGAGTCCATGTTGGAATTCCTGCTCCATGTTTGCAGTCATGGGATTGTTGTCTTTCACATGACAGTGTATGTTTTGACTCCACAGAGTGGAAAGTGACGGAGAAAGGATGTTTGTCTTACTGTGTTCCATGAAGTGGGACTATTGTCCTCTGTCTGATGCTAGAGAGAGAGGGAGCCATGTTGCAGTGCTCCGTGTGTGCTTATATGTAAATAAAGTAGATTAGCCAAAATGCTGAGTTGCTGAGGTCTGTTATGCAAGCTGCGAAGACTCTGCAGATCCCTAAGTCTGTTGGCATCGGTTGCTGTGATGTTCGGGCAGAAGAAAGCTTTTGAAGCTCCTGAATGATTGACCACGAGGGAGGGAACATGTCAGTCGGGCATGTGTCTCTACTAGGATCCTACTTGAGTGTAGGACAAGCTCCTGACAGTCCATTCCACTGTTGAACATCTCTTACCATCACAAAGTTCTTCCTGATGTTTAGTCAGAATCTTCTTCCTTCCTAAACTTGATGCCATTGTTACAGGTCCTACCCTCTGGAAAAGGAGAAAACAAGCTTGCTCCATTTCTCCGGGTGACAGCCCTTGAGATATCTGAAGACAGCTATTATATCTCCTCTCAGTCTCCCCTTTATTAGGCTAAACATACCCAATTCTCAGGCAGAGAATGGGCAGCAGCAGCGGTCTCCAGGTGTAACATGTAGCTTGGACTGGCCCTCAGATGTTTCTCTGCTCACGTATATCAGCTACTTGCACAAGCTTTTAAGTGTGCAAGTGGTGCCATTCCCTACACATTAATCAGTCCCATGAGAAAAGCACCTCTTCAGAAGAAAAGTGCACACTGATTTGGAAAGAGGCCGATGGAGGGCTTTGATTATTTGGTGATAATAAAAGAGCTTTCATTTTAATTAATTCTGCAGAGCTACTGACATTAATTGAAGAACTCCAGTACTTTTAAAATAGGCTTAAAAAACCCCCATCACATACGCAAATCCTTCCAATTATTGATTGTGAATTTCTGAAGCTCTAAAACGATTCATTTCTACTGTTTTTAATAATTCGTTCTGGAAGGGGGGGGGACATACACAAAGGAAGCAATTTTCCATTTTTTTTCTAATGAGATCTCTTGCAAGTGGTTTCTTTGCAAATTAATTGCAACTTTTATTTTGAGAGCTGATTGCTGAGTGTGGGAGATGTTCGTTGGAACCAATATTCTAAACTGTACTTCTCACAAGTATTTTTTTATAAGGTATCCTCTACAAAATATTCAAATACCTTTATGGGACAGAAACAATAGCATTATAACCAGGAAAACTAATGCAGTATTCCCTCAAACTGCTTTATAAAAAGATCAAGATTGTGTAATAATAATAATAATAATAATAATAATAATAATAATTTATTTATACCCTGCCCAGCTGGCTGAGTTTCCCTAGCCACTCTGGGTGGCTCCCAATCAAGTGTTAAAAACAACACAGCATTAAATATTAAACATCTGGTGGGAGGGCGTTCCACAGGGCGGGCGCCACTACCGAGAAGGCCCTCTGTCTGGTTCCCTGTAACCTCACTTCTCGCATTGAGGGAACCACCAGAAGAAATAAACTGCCACAGGGGCTGGATTAAAGCCAGCAGGGGGCCACATTAGCCCCCCCAAATGGACTTTGGACATGCCTTGCCCACAGTGTCTCCCAGTCATGTGAGGAAAAGAGACAAAAGAAGGAATAATCGCTGCGTCCAAGACTGCTGTAGTCAAATTGGTTCCCATGGAAAATGACTGTGAGGTTTTGGGGATGGAATGCAAGTCTCACATTTCTGATCAGTGGTCCTCTGCAGCATCTACTCCACCTCTATGGAGGTGTGGGACCAAAAAAAGGGCCCCCATCCTCCACTCCTCTAAAAGGTAAAGGTAAAGGACCCCTGGATGGTGAAGTCCAGGCAAAGGCAACTATGGGGTTGCGGCGCTCATCTCACTTCAGGCCAAGGGAGCCAGCATTTGTACACAGACAGCAGCCTGGGTCATGTGACCAGCATGACTAAACCACTTCTGGCACAACGGAACACTGTGAAGAAACCAGAGCACATGGAAACGCGGTTTACCTTCTCACCACAGCGGTACCTATTTATCTAATTGCACTGGTATGCTTTTGAACTGCTGGTTGGCAGGAGCTGGGACAGAGCAACGGGAGCTCACACCATTGTGGCGATTCGAACCGCCAACCTTCTGATCGGCAAGCCCGAGGCTTAGTGGTTTAGACCACAGCGCCACCCGCATCCACTGCTCTACAGCAAACTCTGAACAGGACTCCGGAAGCACAGTGGACCTGTGTATGAACCTCCCAGTCACATGTGCTGCTTCCCCAATAGGATGGCTCTTCCGTGCATCACCAGATTTGCATAAAATTTGCACATGCTAATCTATATGTAGGTGTACATTTAGGAATAATGGCTATAATTTAAGTAGAAACGCAGTACATCTCACTGTGATTAAAATAAAACGTATAACTAAAATAGAAATGCAATACATCTCTTGGCACGTTGGGAAGGCTGTGACCAGGCACACTGCGTCTTTGCTCAGTCTGCTGTGTAGGAGCTAATGGTTGATGGGCAACTTCTAGGCCTGTCCTCTCTCCCATTGGGGTTTTTCATCTTTAAACTTGTCTAGGACAGGGCCAGACTTCAAATGGAGAATTGTCCTCTTGCAGCCCTTCAGAGAGGGGACTTTCCTCTGCAATGTGAGAAACATGGCCGCCGTAGTTACCACATTTTTAAGCACCTAGGTTGTGGGTGTTTCATCTGCTGTTCAGGCCTTGTCATCCCCAAGCTGTTTTGTGCCTGGAGTTTTGCTGGTCATGTGCTCTGAGCAGAGTGGAGGAGACAGCAAGACTCCTCTGCCCCATGAATGAGAAGGGATCACCTCGGGCCAGGGTCATGAGCAAGCCTGTCCCTTTCAGTTTCTCTCAACTTCTCATTTGTCCAATTTTAAGTCCAGTTCTCCACATTTCCAAATCAGTTTGTGATTTTTTAAATAAATATATAAAAATGCCTCATGAAAACGCATCAGCATTTTTTGTGCAAATTTCTCCTATTGTACATATTTTAGACGTGTTTTTGTCTAATCTGCACATTTTTGCAAAGCAATTTATCTTAATAGAAAGAACTTTTGTATGTTATTTTCATAAATATATGCATTTACGTGCACACTTAAACACACAATATGCATTTTTTTGTACACCTTACCTGACTGGAAAAGCACACTGCAAAATTCA